GTGTGTGTGTGTGTGTGTGTGTGTGTGTGTGTGTGTGTGCGCGCAAGATGTGTGATGGTCTTTATATTCGCTTTCTGAATGTCGTTTACTTTTCTAATCTTTTGTAATGACAACATTTCGATTACAAGTTTTCGATGTTACATTCAAATTTACAGTAAATATTTAAACAAAAAATATTTACTTGCTTATAGGAATCACGGCAGGAACAATTAATGGCTCTTCAAACATAGGAAAACAATGTGCGCTGCATTAAATCGCTCAAAAAACTACAATTTACTGTCAGATTTGCAAGGGAAAAAAGTAACGCTTATCAATTTCAAAAGCTGGCCAGGATTGCTTCCTTCATTTTCCTGAGATGAAATATTATTTACAGACTTGGCAATATCTTGTGGACATGTACTGTACAACATACGATGTGCGATGAAATAAAAAGACCTAATAAATGAGGAGTTTTGCGTATACAAAAAGCGAAAGAAAATCGCTAGAAAAATATTTTGATATGTTTCCAAACGGTGATCGATAGTTTTCAAGGCGCTAAAAACATCCTGAAGCGGGCTTCTCTCTATTTAGACAGGACAGCGGATTCCAGTGCTTCCTCACACAAATATATTGGATTGTACTGTGTTTCTAGGAAATGTGTGTTCATTAGAGTTAAACAGATAATGTAGGAAGGTAAAAACAAACAAAAAGTCAGAGCAGAAATGAGAAGACAGCCATATCCTGTATCTGACTCCTGCAGTTTTCACTGCTACACCTAAAGAGTAAATGTGTCTAAATGCTGCTATATAACTCCTAATTTCACCTGACTGAGGGTCTGAAGAACAGGGATTGGATGCACTAAAGCGACGTCAGGATTTCCTGTCAGTGTGACAGTGATGGAGGAGTTTAAGCCAGGCTCAGTAGTGTGAGAGTGGCGGTTGAATAGGCCTGTCAAACGTAGGATGTAGGTGGGATGACTAGAGCTATCTGTGATGACTCACGCTGCCTCCACTCCTACCTTTTGGTCATGGTCGACTCTGATGTGCTGAGGTGTTCAACGTGGAGTGATATTGATTTAAAATAAAATATAAAATTTTAAAAAAGCAAGATTTTCAATTAGCGAGCTTTTCAAAAACTGATTTATGGATGATAATTAAAAGATGCCAAGTTGAATGGCACTGCTGAGGGGTGTGGCGCACTCAGTGTTTTAATTATGTGGAAATTTTAATATAATACGGACAAAATTAGAGCCGATATTCATCGTCATGGATGAAGTAGCAGTTGTAATCAGGTAATAATAATATAACCTTTTTAATTTCCTTTAAAAAGCAGAGCACTCTACAGTCAACATGTACCTCTCAAACCGTGTGCGTTTACAGTTTAATCAAACCATAGTCTGTAACCGAGCGAACGCGGGCAAGCTTTAAATCTTAAGACCTTAATGGAGTTTTTTTTAGGAAAAAGTTTTCATTTTAATAAAGCATCATAAACGTGTCCAAAAAGGCCTGTTTGAGCCATATTAAAGCGACGTGGGGCCACGTGTCAGCACTGACCCATTTTCAAATATTTAACCTTTACTTCCAGGGAATAAACTAGGCACATATTCATTAAGATGAGGTTTTAATAGCAGAGCTCAATACGAGTGGCGTTTAATCATTTTCTGATAGACCTGAGAAGAGGGGGAGAGAGAGAGAGAGACAGACAGACAGAGGGAGAGAGGTAGAGATAGAGAGAGCATTGTGGTGGGGCTCGGCCTTGTGTAGCAGGCCTTCCCTGGCCATCAGCCCAACATTACAGCACTATTCCTTCTCTGCTCCCTCCAAAAAAGCATTTCTCTCTCTGAAACACACGAAAGGCCGATCCGGAGTGCTAAAGTACAGGTAGGAATGCACTAGAGAAGAGATTTGCTCAGTTTCGTCGAAATTTCAAAGCCAATGCCACGTTTCTAACCAGTTTGACTATATTTAGTTAAGCCTGCTCTCACTGGATAGTCATGTAGCCCTGGAGGAAACAACACCCAGGCACAATGTTCATACACACAAACGTGGTGATCAGGTCACACGATGCGGCTCTCCACATTTGTTATGTCTTCATCTTTTGACAAAAAAGAAAACCACTGCATGTGTGCAAGCACCACACACCTAAGTATACACACACACACTTACCTCCACACCCACACACTCTCTCTCTGACTTACCCACTGAGACTTTGAAGTAACTGTCCCACACCACAGCAATGAGCTATCCTGGATGAAGCGGCTGTGCTGGACCCATCCGCGGCTGCACACAGTATGTCCACATATCCTCTCTGTAGAGAAGGGCAGAGAAGGAGCTTGGATTCAGTCACACAGCTTTGCACTCCCTGCAAGAAGTAGGCGGGCACGCCAACGACAGACCCATTCAGAGTCCCAGAAAGTACCAGCCTCCGTGTCTGCCTCAGCGCCTTTCCTACAATGTCTGTCTGCGCCTCTGCCCGGGATTTGCCCACGATAATCTGCCCACTTCACCCCAAACCCATCTCTGAGTGTTGGGTAACCTCCCCAACCTGAGCTAACTGCTTTCTAATATTTACAAACCATCTCCTCTCGCTCTCCCCTGTCTGCCAGCTCCTTGTCTGAGACTGTCAGGGCCGCCACAATGGAGAGGCCATGTGGGTTTCCCATGGAGTCGCGTGTTCCTCCCGTCTGGCAGTTAACAAGGCTTTGAATGAGGAATGTTAGCAAACAGAGCTGCTGAATGTCGGATGAATGCTAAGCCAGGCAGCCAGTCAGATCGCAGCGCTGGCCCGGGCATATGAATAATGCAGAAAACTCGGCAGGGAGGAGAGGAGACAAGGCTCCACCTCCCTGTGCCCCTTCCCAACTCCACCCACCCCTCCTTCTTTTCCCCGCTCGAAACTCAAATGCCTTCACGGGAGCAAGAGAGCCGAGAGAGGGGGGAAAGAGAGAATTCAAGATCTCTGCTGCTATTCACTCATGCAATAAAAAAAAACCTGCAAGAGAAGAATAGTTACACATGCACACACATCTAATTACTACAAATCAGTTCTTTAAATACACCACTTTTCCCTCTGTCGTTGGGATCTATCACACTCTTTTTTCTTTTTTTTTGTTTTTTGTGCCTTTTGTTTGGAATTGGCACCTGTCCCAGAAAAAGCCCCGCTGCTGCTCCGCCCTCCTGCTCTCCTTTCACTGGAGACTGCCCACGAGATCGAGCGAGAGAGAGAGAACGTGAGGAAGAGAGGGTGGGGCAGAAAAAAACCAAAAAAGAGGGACAGGTTTGGAGATGGAAAGGGTTAGGAAGGTAGAGGGCAAAGCAGATAAGAGCACAGGAAAACAATAAGGAATTCAATTTAAGACCCATGCGCGAGACACATGAAATCGAACAGCACACAAAACAAACTGCAGCCTTCATACTCAGATTCATCCAGGAAAAAAAAATCTGACATGTTGAGCAATCAAGAAACGTGCTGAAGGAAAAAAACAAAAAAACAAAACCTTTGCACCAACACTAGGGCACGGCGCAAAACTCCCAGGTCCAGTTTATCTCTACTAGCAACAACCCAGGCGAGGCAAAAACGTGATAAAACTAAAAGCGCGTGAAAACAAGGATCTGAAAAATGCCCTTGCAAATGGCGCAGCAATGTCGAAGTAGGAGTAAAGCAAAGCCACTTGTTGCATGATATTGAGGAACAGATCTTGCAGGGAGAAGTGAGAGCAGGCAGAGGGTTAAAATCCTGGGACTGGGAGTAGTAAAAAATCCCTCCCTCTTTTGGCACAGACTAGCTAAAGGGGAGGGCCTGCCTGTAGAAATAGCAGCAGAGCGTTTTTCCCCTCTTTTTTTTCAGAGCTGCAGCGTCCTAGTCTACCCTTTCGCATGTGGCCGGGACCCAGGGAGAGAGGAGGAGGAGGAGAGCGATGGATAGAAAAAGAAGCAAGAGCAAAGAGAGAGAGAGAGAGGGGAGGGGGTAAGAGAGGAAGGGGAGAAGAGCTGTGAGTGGAGGAGAAAGAGCTCAGCTGATGATGAAACAGGGACGTGTGGGAGTGCGTGCGCACTACGCGTTTTCATCACAGACCCAGTATGACGTGCGCATGCACGAGGCAGGGTGGGGAGGGCGCTGAGCTGGGCTACAGGGGGGGGGGGTGCACTTCTGCTGAGGACGAGAGTCACAGCAAACACTCACAAATGATTAAAGGATACTAGGACAACTTGCAACACCTAACTTTGAGACTGGAGGGAAAGATTAATAGTGTATCTTTTCTTTGCAGAGCTGCTGGGCCTTTCAGTTTAATATCAGCCGTTTGGCTTTGACCCACACGTCTTTATCACTAAACTCCCAGCTGGCACTGAAGCAATGGCGTTCCCCTAGCGAAGGCCAAAAGTGTAGGGTATGATCAGTGATGAATATCCTTTTGATTACTGCTTGTTTTTTTGGGCTTTTTTAATGCTTAATCATTAATACGTAGGAAAGCTACATCAACTGTTCTGGCACGCAATCAAAGCCAGATAAGCACCTGGATGCGACTGCCCCACCATGATTGCGGCATTGAACCACGCTGTAAAAATCCTGTAATATTTACCGCAGTGCGCCCGCCATGTGCCATTACTAGGCCACCCTCGCCTTGCAGCGAACTGCAACAACAGCAGCCGGTTCTGCGTGCGACTAAGGAGAGGAGAAATGTCGGGCAGTAACCGAACGATAAAATGGACTCTGTTGATGACTCTGCTCATGTCCAACACCCTCCTTCCCCCTCCGCATCGAGTCTATTCTGTCTCCCACCCTTTCTTGTCCTTTCGGTAGCACTGTTCTAGCCTACAGTAATAAACAGCCCTGTTCTGAACAGCTAGTGTTAATTTAAGCCTGCATGAGAAGGATCTTTTTTTTAACGTTTTTGTGCCAGATACTACCCCTGCTGTCTTCCTCTCTCCCCTCTTCTCATGCACACCTACCAACCTCTGGATCAGCATGCTGAAGGTTATTCACACCCGTCCGGTTTCCACCCGACTTCCCTCCTCAAAAACTTTTCTGGGCAGCCAAATTGTTGTAATGCCCCGTAACTGTTTGCAACAGATTCCCCCGTGGCAAAGAAACAACTTCCTCCTTTTTGGACACCATTCCCCTCCCCTCTAGTCTTCGCTTTCCCAAAAGAAACCCAGAACTCAGCACAGACAAATTTTTTCCCCTTTTTCTCTCCTCATAGCAGCAGCCATACAAAAGAGAGAGGGGGGGGGACGACTGTCCAACAAAACGACGAATCTCACATCATGAAACACAGCTAGCTAGACTCCATGTCAATCTGTGTTTATGCTCGCAGAGTCTAAAGAGGACTAACATGAATTTAAACAAATGAAAGCTGGGAAAACATCAGTATTTCCAGAGTTTTTCAATACGTGTGGTGTTTTGGTTGTTTGTTTGTTTTTTCATTTTAAACAGGCGACAAGTAGATGAAAAACAGCGAGTATGAGCAACACAAGAGCAAACTAATATGGCTGCTTGCTTACTTGTACCGACCCTGCACTCTTAGTCCTGGAGACTGAAAGAAAAGGCGTTACGCTGCTGTGTGTGCGCCTTTTCTACCTCGCAGGACGGGCTTGGAGAGAGAAAGAGTGGGAGAAAGGAGGCGAACGGGTGCACTTGCCTTGCCTAGCTCTCTCCTCACCTTTCCACACAGTCAAATAAAAACTCGGCTTCCCTGTGTTGTGTGTACTACTGCTGCACCATCCGCATTTCAATGACGCACAATGTGCAAACTCGTGAAAAATGAGGAGTGAGATTACTCCCGAGGTTCAACGTGAGGCAACTGGTGATTTAAATGCACTTTATCAAAAAAGCAATAAATTCCCTCGTGGGCATTGATGAGCAAAACCCCGGTCGAGCACCAAACAGTGATCAGACTGAACCCTGTGACGTCACATCTCGCCACGTCTTTGAACCAATTGCTCTCGCTGAAATCATTAAACGCTGTTACGAGTGCCTGCTGAATATATATCAAGCACTATTGTAGACAAATTCGTGTTTCATCTGGAATCAGAAGAGTCCCTTTGCTCTTTATCTTCTATCTAAGATACTGTTACTGCAAGTCAGTTGTTTACCATCTAACATGTGGCAGGAATTCAAAAAACTTGGCAGAGCCTGTTGCACCGTACGTCGCGGAGAGTTCATTTGAGGATACAGCTCTGGTTTTGGCTCAGCTGCCAACTTCTGACACTGTAGCCCTCTGCACGGCCTCGCCCCTGCAGGAGTGGCCTGCGTAATGCTGCCATTGATGAAACTCCAATATTAACAACCTCCTTTATGACATCTCCACGAGTCTACAACCGCTTTTTTCCCCCCTTATCAGCTCCCTTCATCTCTTCGTTAAAACTGAGCTGCACTCTGCCTTACAGCACACGTAACGCCAGGGTGTAAAAGCATTGTTAACATTTCATATGCATGTAAATGCAAGAGAACAGAAGCTTTACCGCACAGTCTTACATATTCACAAAAAATCAAATAGATGCAAAAGGAAAACCGAATACAAACATTATCAAATAACCCAACCATAAAAAAGTGACAATACATGTGTCATGGTTGCAACACAGAGCTCAAGTCTCAGTGAAAATGACTTATAACTCTTGAGGAGCTCAAGCAATTAAGTCGCTGACTTATCAGCCCCCGAATGCCTTCACATCTTTATGAATCATCCCACAAATTTACTGCAACAAAGCAGCCGATCAGCACACACACAGTATAAAATTTACAGCACGCTGACACTGCTCGATGCTGCACTGCCCCAGGGCAAGCAACACACACATGCACAAAGTGAAATTAACTCAACCACAATATTTTTGATAATCACTGCTGGCAGCTTTACAGGACCATATAAATACAAACAAATCGCAACATGAACTGCAATTAAACAGCCAACAAGTAGTTGAGAGAAATCACAGCAGATCGGCTATCAAACTGAAATTCATCATTAAGCACAGCAATAACTAAAATAAATAAATCTATTATCCACTTTTTAACCAAAAATTTTTTTTCTTCAGTGTATTACGTTTCGCTGTTAGTTAGCGAAGAATTAATGGGGTTAAGTAGAACCACCTGGGATTGCCAGTAAAAAGACATATGACCCTCTGAGGGATCTACTTCTGTGACTGCACTGATTTTGCGCTGAAAAAGACCAACATTTGGGTATTTTTTGCACGTCAAAGATGTTCTTCTGAAGGGTGAAAAAGTCGCACAGGAGATCTATGTTTTACTGTGAACCTGAGAGTTATAGCTGTCTACACATTCACACCCTTGCGAACTTACACAAACTTTCCCTC